GAGAGCCCTGGACATCTTCTTGAGCACTTAATATCTGCAAAACACAAAGCTCTTTCCATGAGGCTTACTACTAATCACCACTTGCTGATGCAAGAAATTCCAGAAACACAGCACAAAAAGCAACCTCTCTTGTAAGACACTAACTTCTATTCTGAATAGGAATCTGCTTCTGAAGTTATTCATTGGCAACACAAAAGGAAGCATGAAGTCATAAATGCTCAGTACTATGGATTCATGCTGCTGCAAATCAGCAGTAACACAGTTAAGTGTCTGGAAAGAGAGGGAACTCAACACCAAGGGGAAAAGGCATGATGGGGATGGAAAAAAAAAAAAAAACCAATGCTACTGTAAACTGCAAGTCTTAGTCTCTTCATGTTCCTACAGGTTAAAACAAAGAGTAACCAGAACAATGGCAAAGAAAACAAACACTATCCAAAATGAAAAGAAAAAAAAAAAGAGAGAGACTATCCATAAGTTATTATTTTTCTTAGTTTTGTAAGAAGTTAGGCTTTGTGTATTAAAGAGTGGAAGTAATGCTTTGGATATATGAACYGGAATGAAGGACSATCCTTGCTAATGGAAATTTACTATCGATAATGTTTTTCTATTTCGAGGTCTCTAAAGATTGATTTAGATAATTACATTTAAATTGCATTCCACAGCAGATGAATTCCACACTTTCCTCCAAACATTGTAAAAAATATCAGTCTCAGGAAGCAGAACACGTTTCTCTGGACGGTCTCATCTCCAGACCATATCTTACACTTGATCTGAATGACAAATCTCTTTAAAAAGTATTTATACATGGAATGTATTTCTCCTCACTACAGATGAAAATATTGTGGAACTGACTATGTTCTGAATTCTAAGATGCAATAATGCCCTACCTAAAATAAGTAAATTGGACATGAGGGCACACAAGACTGAAAATGTTACTCACACTGTCTTACACAGCATGGTAAGAGCTTTGGTAATCACAGCATGGTAATCACAGCATGTCTTATGCAGCRTGGTAAGCATACACAGGTATGTACAGCTGTGTAAGCAAAATCAGTGAAAAAATCATCCTAAAACATGCTAAAAAGAAAACTTTTTGTTTAAGTGAAATCAAGACAATGTAGCAATGAAGACACCATGAAGTGAGTGGCCCATTATCCACTCCCTAGAACTGTCCAACAAGTCATTTTCAGGAATCCCAGATGTTGGGCCATCTGTTTGTTACCTGTCCCAGACCTTCCAAAGACAGAGTCACACTAGTGAGTACGAAGTCACTAGCGAATAAAAAACAGTAGAGGCACACTTCAAAAATAGAGTTTAAAAATCCGCAGGGATCACGAGAGGAATCTGTTATCTGCGAGTGTCTGAAGTTCAGAATGTACAAGTGACACTACCAGAGGGCTGAGAGAGGTGATCCTTCTTTATTCAGCACTGGTGAAGACAAGACTTCTGCCCAATGTTGTGTTCTTCACTGCAAGAGAGACGTGAACATACAGAAGAGAGTCCAAACAAGGGCCATGAAGATCATGACAGGATTAAAACACATCTGCCACAGAGAAAGTTTGAGAGAGCTGAACKGTTCAGCCTGGAGAACAGAAAGCTCAAGGGGATCTTATCAATGTAAAGCACCTAAAGGCTTTAAAAAGAATAAAGCCTCTTTATGCACTTGGTTGCAATTCAGAGTTCCCTCTGGATCCGAGCAAAGCACATGGAAGCTTTGCCAGAGTAGAATGGGAGTGGGTTCAGGGCCTTTACACTGTGTGTTCCTCCACCCTGGTGTTATGTAAGAAACTGAGCTAAACTGTAAATATTACACAACCTYGAAAAGGGAAGGGACTAGTAAAATATCTGCACAACTCCTTCATGCTGACTCACTCCTTCCTTTCTACTTAAAAGTTATTACCCACACTTAGGAGTATAAAGAGATGCCTGAAATGGTCACTTCTGTCTCTTAAGGATGCCCCAGGCACAGTGAGATCTTTCACTAGAGTGAATAGGATATCACACAGAGCCTGGMGACAGACTTTTTARCATGGCCTGTTGCAATAGGACACAGGGCAATGGTTTGAAAGTAAAAGAGGGTAGATTTAGACTAGAGAKAAGGAAGAAATGTTTTACAAGCAGGATGGTGACACACYGGAACAGGCTGCCCAGGGACAYGGAAGATGCCCTGCTCCTGGAAACATTCAAGGCTGAGTTGGATGGGGCTCTGATCTAATGGAAGATGTCCCTGCWTATTGCAGGGGTTATTTAGAAGTGGTGGCCTACAGAGATCCCTTCCAACCAAAGTMTTCTATGATTCTAAGCAGGACAACAGCATCAGGAAGAAGACTGCAGTTTTCCCCCAGCTGAAGTCATTGCAGCACTGCACTTAGAGTACCTGAAGCCACACACACCCCTTGATGTTCTTGCTGTGGATCTAAGCCCCACACGCCTACACCAACCTAGACAAATAACCCAGGGATTATGATCTTCCAACAAAAGAAGCAGCAGTAGCGTTCCAGCTTGCTTGCTAACTACAAGTAGGTCAGATGGGAGTGGAAAAATGACTGAGTTAAGCTTTTGCCTACACATTCTACAAGCATTGTCCCRTGGCTGGCATCATATTAAACAAGARGAAATCTTTCAAAGCAGGRTATCAGCCCACAGCTGACCTAGAAAGACATGTRGAAATGTGTCCCCTGCTTAGGCTGGGTAAAAAGATTATCATAATTTCTAGACACTTAGAATCCTCATTATGCTGTAAAAGTCATTTACCAAATGACAGCCTTTCTCCAGTACAGTTAATGTTGTAGCAAAATATCCTTGTGGCAACTAAGTGATAACTTCATATCTTGTAATATTTAGATTATATATGTGATATTGAAAGACATGCTCTTATGCTGAAGGATATCGCTGCACTTTAAAGTGTAATACATTGAGCATGAATAGAAATTGCCTGGTCTGATATTACTTACCTAAAATACAATGCATTGTGCATGAGTGGAAATTGCTAATTTTAATGCTAGATATTTAATACGTRGTTGTAAAACTTACACAAACTGTAATTTATCAACTACACTTACATTCTGGAAATATACTGCACATTATCTGTATATAAATTACTTACTTACGTGCTCTAAGAAAACTCAAATTTACAATAAGAGATCTATTTTCCATCACTTTTTGCATAAGTTGCATTGTCATAYTATGCCATTTTAAATACTGTATGAAATCCTCAATTAATGCAAGGAATCTGACATCTAATTCAACTTCATCTGATGACCTCACCCAGTAGGTCTGTGTCAGCAATCTGTTCTCTGACAAAAACTCTCATCATAACAAAAAAGAAACTCTACAGAAAAGAGACTACAGAACCAAGCCAAACATTATTCGATGRCATTATTTCTAAAAATTAAAACCACAAAATCCATTGTTTTCRCAGAGCCCCAATATAAGACTACTAAATCTTCATAATAAAAGGCCCAGTTTCTAAACTGTGCATTTATCAATAATGATCAAGTTATTACCAACAAATTAATTTTGACTGAGATGAACAGTGAAAAATTAGGAACATGATGGTTTGATGTTTAAATAAAAGGTGCTCATTGGTACAGACCAATAACTTCATGAAATATAGCTATGCTAGGGCCAAATGAGTGGAAAGAGACTTAAACTAAGTTATTGAAATCTATGTTCTGATCACTGATGTAATAAAAAAATATAAATAAATKCTGACTCAACCATTCTGCACAAAACCCCAGCTACATCGTATTCATATATGCACATTMTTTTACAGCATTCCATATCAAGTTRTCTTCATGCACTATACCGAGGACAGTCTTAAAAAGTGCCTGCTGCCATTAACAACATATAAGTAACACATTCCTCTGCTTTGTAYTGGTAAAGTGAATAGCCATGAAAACTATGCAAAAGTGCTGATAATGCTTTACCAAGCTATAAGAGGTAGCTTCCCTTAAGTGAGATTCATTTCTAGATTTACAGCACAAAATTTATTTTGGTTGGAATTTAGTGTGGGTTCCCCTGTGACTCCTGGTTCAGCATACAGAGAAGTAAATTAACAAACAAAATAAAATAGCCCACAAACCCAAAGAACTGGACCTGTTTGTGCCCTCTGAATCTTGATTATTCCACAGAGCTAGGTATAATTTGGTGGGGAAAAAGTATCAGTTGTCAGTCCAAAGAAAARAATCATGAACATTTATCTCCACCATCTTCTTGAAGAAGAATGTCCAATTCAGACAATCCAGAAGTYTTTATTCCCATTGGAAAGAAAAGGCTGCCACTAATATTCAGCCTCAGACTCTGCTTTACTAACAATATAGCCAGTCAGTACAGTCATTTTTTAGCAAAATTTCACAGGTCTCTGCACTGTGTACTCCTGAAGAACTTCAGGTCCATTTATAAATACTTGCATATTATTCCAGTCTGCCTCCAGAGTTTCAGTTCCTGTTTTAGACCAACTGAGCAAAGTACTAATCCTAATACTGTGTGACCTCACTGGTATATTACCTTCAGTCACTGATATATCTCTTAATATAAAAATAAAGCAGAAGACAATTTTAGAAACTTATTTTTTARACTTGCTGCTTTTCTAACTTTGGAAAAGGCAGTCACAGAAATGTCTTTTCATTGAAAAAGAAAGATGGCAAAAGTTCATTACAATTCACGCTTAGTCACATTAGGCCTAGAAATGTGGCTGAAACTTCTTTTATAAATGAATYATCAAAATCACATGGATTTTATTGATTTATTTATTATTTGGTTTCACTTATGGAAGACTTAGGAAAAAAGTTCTCGTTATCATTTTCTAAACAGTGGAGAAAATTAAATATGTATTGAGTACTGTCATACATAATAATCATGCATTTCATATTCACTGGTACCCTTATAAATGAAACATAAGCTTTCTGAGGAGAATTGTCACCATGAAAGAAATAAAGACTGTTTGTTTACCAAATATAAGCAAAAAAGAAAGTACAGAAAAGAACACTATTTCTTACCATTGTGAGMGTGAATGGATGGCTTTCCAGGGCAGACACTCTTGGACAGTGGAGAATAACATACTGAAATAAGATGACAGAAAAGATACATTCAAAACATTCAGTGATGGGCTAGTACTTATAAAGTGAGAGCCATCGTTAGAGACAATGTTACATGAAAGCAAAGTGATTTTTCTAGGGGCACATTAACTCACCTGACCGGGCCTTGCTTCAAAGTCATCTTTCACCATCCTGACTTCAAGGACATTGGAGGGGTGGCTTATTACCGAGGTTATGGTGACAGGTTTGTTGCTGCGGATRTAGCGGTACAGCCTCTCCACACAGTACAAGCACAGAGGTCCAGAAATCCAGAGCCAGGTCTAAGGGAGAACAAAAGTATGTTACCTCAAAGACTTTTAACTTTCTGTTTTMTATTTTCACAACTACATGAGAGCTTGCGGGATCTCACTTCACGTCTAATATCCACCTCTCAACATGCAGAAAGCCAAGAATGTTCTGAAGCCTTAATCAGTCTAACCAGCAGCATCATCCACAAGCCCAAGCAATTTCAATCATAAAACTCATCAGGAACAAAATGCTAATGACCTAATTTGCTACCATTTTACTCTGGTTTAATGTAATTAGAGTGCAGCTGGTTTCAGCAATCACGGTACATATATGGTTTCAAAGTCCAACAGACCAGAGTACTATATAATTGGTTAACATTTATGGGAAAATGCTTTCTGACTTGCAATATTATTTAACTATTACTTTCTTTTAATTATGTCAGGTTCAAGCAAAAACCTAAAAAGGCTTCATTCTTGTTCTATAGAATTTATGTTGATATTAAACTAGTATAAAATCATAGACAACAGAGAGAAATGGGTACTTCTGAAACTAATTCACTTGCTCCCATGGAATATGCATATGCTAGACAGAAAATGCCCTGAAAATGCCCATTTCTCTGCACTGATTATATTGGGAGTCCTGGGTGACTACTCCAGATGAAGACATTTGCAGCTGCTCAGCTAAATCCCATTCTAAGAGTCAATTACCAATAGCTTATGGCAGACTTATGTTCTAATTCCACATCTGCTCGGTCATTTGAGCTGTGGCATTGAAGTGCAGTGCCCTCAACCCTCATACACCTTCCCTCCCTTCCCAATTTCCGACGTTACACTTCAACATCTTTTTTTTTTTTTTTTTTYTTTTTTGAGAYKTGGTATCACAATATTTCCAAATCCAAAAAAGACTTAAATAGTGTTTTAAACCTGACAGTTGAACACTGAGTGGCCATTTCTTTCCATGACTCCTTTCCTATAAGTGGCTCTAAAATAGGAATCTAAAGCCTGGAAGAAGACTCTTTGCAGTCCTGTGAGTCATGTGGAGACAGATATACACAGATGCTTGTAATTCAGGAGTGCTACCACAACACAATACCAATCCAAAGAACTTTGCTGGAGGAATTCAATTTTGAATTAACTGTTTCTCATTATGATTACATGTTCCATAGAAAAAGGGCTCCCACTGCAGCTAGTAAGGGACACACATGTTCAACAGAAAAAAAAACCAATAGCAATAAAGAGAAACTCCGGTGGGGTCTGTTATGGGACCATCTTGAATGGTGGGCCTTGGACTCATGAACTCCATATTTGCAAGCTTCCTCAGGCCATTTGCCAATACAGCCCAGCTCATCTTTTCTCACAAGAAAAGAGAAAATTTGGATGAAGAAAAAGCTGCTGTCACAAAACATAAAGAAACAAAAGGAAAATGGAAAACAGGARAAGAAAAGGCTTTTCTATCCCCACTGTCATCATACTCATTTACCCATGCCACATATAAAACAAGCCTGTCTGCAAACAACAGGCTATAAAAGCCAAACCACAACCAACTGCAACCCAGAAATGAGTATTATGACTTGCATCTGCATGGTAAAAAAGAGAACAAATGGAGCTTGATTATTTCAATTAACTACTGCCACACAATGCTTACAAAAGGCCCTCACAAAATGTTATACAAATGTTTGCTCTGAAATGCTACGCTGTTAAGTCACATTTATAGCAGGATCAATACATCTCTAACGGTGTTGTTCAAAAAAGAACATTACAGCCARTCTCCTGACATTTTTCCACCCTCCCTGTTCTATGCATCACATTATAATGCACTTCAGGGTTAAGTACAGATTGTTTTTTTCCCCACCAAATCTTTGAATGCCTCAAAAGGTTTTAATAATATTTTCCATTATTAAAACATCTGGTCTGGAAAAGCAATAATTAGTGGTTATGGCTGACTGAAAGGCTTGGCATGGCTTTTAATACCTGAAATGTCGGATCATACAGACCTCTGGGAAGTGCGACTGGAACTTGGGTTCCTCGGAACAAACTCTCATAAAGCTATTTTGTACAAAGGGTTCTGGTACTGGTAGGTCCTCTGGGAAAGGCTCAGTAGTATAGTCAGGAAACAGCTCTTCAAAAGCCTTTGGCACAGTCAGGTTCTGTCGGAGTGTTTTGTTAGGATTAAAGCAACCAGGAGGGTGTTCCTCCAAGTTGGTCTGGTACTTGAGCACACCCCTACAGAAGAATAAAAACAGTCATGACACTGAAGCAGCAGCAAAAACCAAACAACTTATCTTCATCTGGAGAGGACTTTAAAAGCAGTCACAAGCCTCATCTTCTGTTAGAAATTTTATTCCGTTTGCCTTCAGGACTTTCAATGAGATTGAAGCTTTGCAACAATAGAGCCTTCTGTCACTAGAGGCAAGGTTTAACTTTTCCAGCTCACTTGGCACTCCCCCACTGAACACCCTCAAGCTTAATACTGCTTGAAACGGGGAAAATATTGTGGGAAATGAAAAAAAAAAAAAAAAATCAAATAATCACATTTCCAATTCAATCACACACAAGCTGTTTTCACTCATCCTTCCTACAGTCAGCAGACCCTGTTTTTAAGGCAGTCTTGTAGCAGAAGTGGCCTAAGTTGCCAAATCAAACTGCAGGAATGTTCCCACTACTTGGTGCAGGTTTGCACACAAACAGATAGAAGGAAAAAAGAAAGTCCTGCATGACAGCCAAGGAACCTTCCTTGCAAATTATTTTATGGGATCCATCCTTTTTTTTTTTCCCTTAAGCTAAGTTAAATTTACAGTAAAATGAAGTGAGAACTTTGAAATGCAGTTAGAAACTCTGAAGAAAGAACTGGAAACCAAAGACACTCTGGGATATCTCAGCACATGAATGAATCACTGAAAACAGGGAAGAACAGATAACAATAATAATAAAATTCCTCAGAAGTACTACTTCTCTCCAAATCTGGATTTGATGACAGCAAAACCACAAGAATACTCAAAATAAAAAAGAAGCTGAATGACACCTGCAGAGGACAGTGCTGAGTGGGAAATGAGGCATAGTGAGACAATGCCCTATGAGTGCTAAGCCTTGCTGTGAAGGGTCATCTCAAGTTTGCAAACAAACATAAGGACGCGTGCTCCCCCCTCCTCTCTCAATGCACACACAGCAGCAGCAGCAGCAGCAGCAACAGAGTTTAATTCAGAAGAGAGAGAACTGGGCCATCTGCAATATTCCCCACTTAAATGGGCTCTGACAGGCTACTGGCAATCTTCCCTACCAAAATGCAGTCCTGACAGCTAGTAACAAGCTTCCTACATGGTCCAGTGAATCATGTCAGCTTGGAAGTTAAGCCTGCTCACTCTTAAATTCCACATCTGACCCTGGGAGAATCGTTTGGGAAGTGTCCTTGCACCTACACCCATGCTTCTGCCTGCATTTATTGCTCAGTCGTGCCTATCGCTTGCATCTGGCATCACTGCTGGTCACCACATATTTGCAAAGTGACAGATACCCCTAGCATTATCCCAGTTCCCTGCTTCATGAATATTATGGTGCCTCATGGATTTAGCTGGAAGTCAAAGCCCCTGCAATATTTTTCCAGTGAACGTTGTGTGCATGCCTGCCAGCAACTCCCACAGCTTCTCTGTTCTCAGAATATCCCAAAAGAGGATTGCCTTGAGAGTAGCTGCAAACATGAGCATCCCCTCCAGTGATCTCTARTTTATTTAAACTATTACAAACATGTTAACTGAGTGGCAAACAGGGATGGCAAAGCTGCCTGTTAACAGTAGCTCAGTAACTCCCAGTTCTGAAGCTGTCAAGGAAAAGAAAGTCTTACACACCCAAGATCAGTGCCCAGAAAGGTTGAGTTCTGCACTGAATGAACAAACCACTAACATATGACAGATGAATCACATCATTATTTATATATTGTTGAGAAGTGGTTGGCTGYGCAAAGAAGAGGATAATGTCAGAACATACCTACAAGAGCTTGAAACAAAACAAGAATCCAGCAATACTGTGGAAATACTTTACTCCTAAGACATAGTAAAACCTTGCTCATCCTGCCTGCACAGCTCAGCTACAGGAGATGCCTTGCTCTGTACAGTAACTGGCTATGTGTTTGCAAGTCTCTAAGACATCCCACACAGGAGTAATTTGGGCACCCAAGCACGGATATCTAAGCTTCCTTATTTCTCAAAAGAGATCATAGAACTGTTTAGGTTGGAAAAGACCTCCAAGATCCAAGTCCAACCATTATCCCAGCACTGACGTGTTCACCACTAAACCAYGTCCCTAAGCACCACATCTATACATCTCTTAAATACCTCCAGAGATGGTGACTTTATTGCTTCCYTTAGCAGCCTGTTCCAGTGGCTGACAACCCTTTTGGTGAAGAAATCCTTCCTAATGTAAAATCTAAATCACCCCTCATGCAACTTGTGCCCCCTTCCTATTGGTCTTATCAGTATCACTAATGGAGCCAGGAATCAGTCCAGCTCACCTGAATGTAGATCTCTGAAACAGCAAATTAGTTGAAACATCCTTTGGGCTCCATTGGCTGCATTTATCAGAACTCATTAGACCATTAWGGGAAAGACACTGAGAAAACATGCAGAGACCTACATTTAAGCATCTTAAAGTTGAACTGACTCCCACTCTCCATGACTCATTCCTCTCCCACTTCTAATGCTCCGTTCTTTCAGATTTGCACTGAATACCTTTGTAATTCAATACTAAGGAGGCTGTGCACCAGAATATGCCTGTTCTATGCTTGGTGTATTACTGCAGCCTTGGTTTGCAAACTTGGTAAATGGAACATGGTTGGGAAAACAATGAGCAAAGCATAATACAGTGAAGGAGATTAATTAAACTGGACACGAAAAATACCCCAAAGGCAATCACTGGAACAAATTGCCTAGGGAGGTTAGAAGATCTCAGTCACCAGATGTTTTAAAGAAGTTAGACAAACACCTGTCAAGAATAATTTAGGAAAAGTTCATCCTGGCCTAGGAYGGGGAGAACAGGTTAGATCCATCTGCCCCAGCTATGAACAAGTGCTATGCCATAGAAAAAACACCTGAAGAAACCAAACAAAACCATCTCCATTCACAGCAGAAACTTCAGAGATGCTAACAGAACAGATTTTCACAGCATCATAGAAAAGTTTGGGTTGGAAGAGCTCTTTAAAAGTCATCTAGCCCAGCTGCCAACCCACACAGACATCTCATAATTTGTGGAAGAGGCTTTACCTAGAAACTGAGATCAGTTTGTTTGTGCCTGATACAGATCTGACCATCAAATCTTCATGGCACATAAACACTGGTCTGATGTTTGTGAAAACAAGAGGAAAAGCTAGCAAATTCTGTATCACAGCAAAGGGAAAGAGGTAATTAGGGAGAGGCCATTCCTTCCCTCTCGTTAGGAGTGAAAAAAGAAGGTAGACAGGAAAATGCAAGGGAAGCAACTTTTCTTCACATTCTTGTCTCAGTAAGCAGGTAAGAGGTGGCAGAAAAAGAAGCAATGTTTTCTCGATTTCTCACTAGACATTGGTAAAATGGACAAGGAATAATACTGAAAGTGAAGAAGTTTGTGCTGGTTGGCTATAACACACACAATTCTCCAAGCTACAGCCTGATCTTTATTTAAACACACACCAGAGGACAACATTTTGTCCCAAAGGTGCTCACTGCACTCAGGCAAGCTCAGGAAAGGCAGCATCCAAGGAAACTGCTCTTTCTGGTTACGCTTCTGGAATAGGAGCAGTATTTTTCATTTACTTACCCAGAAACATGCAGCATCAGGAGCATGTAGAAGACAAAGAAAAGGTTGTGTGTATACCAGAAGATGTCATAGTTTGAAACCCTGCAAAGAATAAACCATGGTTCAGTGCTGTTTCAACTCAGACAGAATCACTGCTAATCAAAAGCAGACCTGTGCACACAGGACATCAGTATACACTGCATAGTCATGCAAAATAATCAAAGCCCAGGATGTTTTCCCACAGGCACACTGGACTTGCAAGCAATTAAGTGCTGAGAAGAACAAGTGACTGGCGCAGAAGTAATGAGCTGAGAAAGAGAGATAATGATGTAGAAGTACAGAGCCAGATGAAGAACTCTTCTGAAATTAGGAGACTTCTCTGCTTTCATAGATCCTAGTTAGTCTCTGTGAGATCCTTACAGCTGGAATATTCTTCCACCTCCAATCTCAAAACTCAGCTTCTTTACAGTGAGTGTGCCCTTGCACTCTCCCTGCCCCAATGCAGTTTAATGTGTCACTAAGGCTGTGACAAACAGGTGGCATGGACAGCAGCAGAATGGCCAGTGGGAAGGGTTGAAAAACTTGTCTATGGAGAGGAACGAGATACAGGAGGAGCAGGACCTAGAACAAGGAGACAACAGGAGGGCAGGTAGGAGATGTTCAGGGCAGGAGGCCACATACATTACTGCTCCAGGACTGATGGTCCTGGGAGAAACAAGCACATTGCCACTGTGAGATCAGGAGGGGTGAAGGGAAAAGAGCACTTCCTTTCAGCAGTAATTTTTCAGGAAATACAAAAAGAACCAAGACCAAAGAAAAATACCCATTTGGAGCTGTTTGCTGTTAAGCCTGTTTGCATTTATCTTGAGTAAAATAGTTACCAAACAACAGCCAAATGGCAGACAAACACACCTCYCCACATCATGGAAGGAGAGGCCCTTCTAAAACACAAAAAAACTACCCCCATTCATAAGCCAAACCAATAATCAAATAAAAAACARCTTTAGCTCTGAGAACATGGTTTAAGAAGCTATTCCTCTGACACAGCTAATTTTTCTCCTATGGTCTTCTACATAAYCAGCTAATTGGTCTTCCTTCAATACAACTGAAACATATACTGCATTTATTTCTGTCAATACTAGATTTACTTCTTTTCTCTTTCAAGACAGAAAGAATAATTTTGATAATTTAAGGGCCACCAAAATAAAATCCGAGGGAAGGAACTAGGAAGAAAACTAAGGAGGAACAAAGGAAGGACTACCAGCAAGAGCAAGGGGCTCTGAAATCCCCTTCCACCCTGCTATCCTTCCCCCAGTCAGCACGATGTTAACACTTCCTMCTTGAAGCTGCTCCAGCCATTTCTAACTCCTCACATCCCAGGAGCCATTTCCATGCACTCACTCGTCAGTGTCTGTAAGACACTGACTGTAAGAGGAAAATAAGGACAATGGTGTGCAGAGTGGAAGCACAATTGGATGACACAAAGAGAGTAAAATTTGTGCTCTGTCTCAAAGCAGGTCACAGAATTCCAGAACAGCTTAGGATAGAGCAGACCTTAAAGATCATTTAGGTCCAACCCCCATACCATGGGAAAGGACAAGGACAGGTGAGCACTGAATTTGTCTTATTGGATCTTGAGCATCYTTTTCAGAATGCACCAATTTTTCAAAATTTCAGTGATGAAAAATCATTCCCTGGACTGCTTCTGACATGTTGCTTTCAAMAGCTAATTATTATTACTGATTAAAGTCACTGTACACTTCTTGTCTGAATGTCTAAATGTCAGCTTCCAGCCCATTGAGCATTTTATTCTTCTTTCAGCACTCCTACAGATACCTGTACTATAAAATCCTGCTTCCTCACATGTATCAAGTACCTCTAAATGCGAGCAAGCCCTCTGAACTTCACCTCCTTAAATTACAAGGGGATGTAAATCCTTGAACCTTTTATCATGAAGCATATTTTCCAACACTGTAATAATTATGCATTTCTTATTTGTATCCTGAACCTGTGCATCCTACAGATACATACAGTATTCTAATATATTCAATAATCTTCCTATTGATACACACATATTTTTACAGCTCTTCAGAACATTTCCTTTTTTTACCTTCTTAGAGCTTAAAATAGACATTATTCACAGAATAAATGCATSTCTTAGGAATGCAAAGTTCTGAAAATTTTAGGTAAGTTGAATATTTTATTTTAATTCTGGTTAACCTACTTTAGAATTTTGCAGATGAAGACCTGCAAGAGTTAATTTACTGAGAAATGTAAGGGGAATTTATCATACTTTAAAGGGACACACTAAGCAGCACAGTTCTAGAAAAATATTTTTAATCCTGTWACAGACAGCTTTGAAAAGGAAGATACATGTGGTAGCTTAGAAGATGAAACTGAAGACTAGAATATTTGGTTACAAAAATAAATGGCACTGGAGCACCTTATTTTWTAATGTTCTTTTAAATATATGGCTTCTAAACCTTAAACATCATTRATTTTAAAGTTGGCAGAAATGTCAACATTTATTGACAGGATTTATTGTGTTTTCTGATAACTTCATAACCCTACTGAAAACAGCAACTGAACAAAAAAAATGGTCTGATTCTCAGRTATGACATGGCAAAAAATTAGAAAATTTTTCAAGTAATAATTGCTTTCCCGTTTTAAAACATTAGCAGCTAATCCAATCCTTCTAATACTCCTCCACACAGTTTACTGAAAAGTAAAAGAGGCATAAGAGACAAAAAAGTAAAAGAGGCATGATCATGTGAAGAACATATAAAGGAAGAAATCACTAAGCAGGTTAGTGTGCAAGGGCAGATTAGGGCTTAAATCCAAGACTACAATAGTCTCTGAAAAACTTTTTTACAAGTCAGTTTCTGATCGAGAGTGAACACTTACAATTAACTTTCCTAAAACTGTATTGTATGCTTAGCCATCATAGGGCACATGAGAATCCCCAGGGAAAGATTGCAATGGGACAGAGAGATGCACGCAGCAGTTTGTTTCCTTAAGAGAAAACATTATAATAAAGAAAAACGTGAACTCTACGCCTGAGGGAGAAGCCTAGCTTTCCAAGTAAGAATTATTGCTAGAGTAACAGGAGATGCGGATTATCTCTGCTCAGGGCTTTGATTCTGATGGCTACATGGCAGAAAGCTGGGAAAGTATCTGCACTTACAGAAACTGTGGAAGGAAATAAAAAACATGTAACTTCAAAAGATGTTGCATGAATCCCMAAATTGTTTCCAAATCATTATTATTTATAACTATATATATTTTTCTAAGTTTCCCAATCCCTAATACATGATGTTTCTCTAATTTAATATGGTCTTGAAGGAAACAGGACTTTGTTCTGGCTCAATACTGCCGAGTAAAGAACCTGTTTTATTTTTCCATCATCCCAAAACTGCCTTTGTTTTGCAAGCAGAGCCATGCATGGCTGTTTGGTATTATAATTCACATTAAAAAAGAATATATCTGATAACCAGAGGCAGAGCTTTAAAAAGCAATGTTCTACCTCCGTAGCATAATTTTGTGTCAGTTTGTTTTCATTGCTGTTGGTTTGGGTTTCTGGGTGGTTTTTTGGTGTTTGTTTTGTTACTGTCTTTTATTTTGCAGCTTATTGTTATCATTAAGTGGTGAAAATAATTAAGATAAGGATAGCATCTTATTTTTTGTCCAGTGGACTTAATTTATGCACTAGATAGAACTTCCCATATCCTGAGTTTACCGCATTCCTGTAAAACCAGGAATAAAAAACCTATTTTAAATTTTTAAAGGTCCACATTTTTAACTGAGCACACTCATTAAATAGTATTACTTCAGAAGACAATTCAATCAGGTTTTGTAATTGTTTTAATACAAAATTCACTGTGCTACTTGTACTGCAAGCTAGGAAAAAAATAGGGCAAGAAAACTGGTATTTTTAACACTYTTACCAGTAGGAGAATATGATTACTGAAATGGCATTTTTCAGCATAATGATCAGATTACTTCTTACCTGATGGCATACGTGGAAGCTGTACACATTAGGAATAATACTAACACCATAATGACTCCAGTCAGACCTGGAACTAGAAAGGACATAAGATAACTTACATTTGAACTCTGAGGAGGTATATACTTGTCTACTATGACCTTCTAAGAAAGTGGAATTAGACATATAAATCATTTATAGATTTAATCACACGCTTGAATGTACTTCTCTCTCGAGGACAACGCATGTATCAGACCATGTGGGAAATAATAATTGCTGTGAAATTTCCCACCTTCCCATAGAAAAGTACCCTTTTCCTTGCATTTGGTGAAATTTGTGAATTCATCATGTATCACAATTTCCTATTATCTTTGCTGCTGTAATCTTCTGCTTGTGACATCTGTGTCTAAGCAGGTAACTAAGAACAAACACTGTTTACTTGCAAGACTGACTGTACAAGTTTCTGTCTCTTTTTTATTCCAAACACTACACTCTGTTGATCATGACAATTAAACACCTGGTCAGGGACAGAATTTCAAGCAAATCAATTTCTATGCAAGCTGTCACTACAATTGTTTGCCAGCCCATTTCATTCTGGAATGAGGAAGRGCCTGAAATTACTCTCCATGGCATCGTATCATGCTTGAAATTGTTGCCCATAGAGCAAGGTCTGTGACAGCGATCTTCAGTCAGCAACTGGGAAGGAAAGGTTAAAAAAAATTACTACTGGACTCATAGGCTCAAATGTAGAMTTTTATCAGATCTAGTTTATCCTTCAGTTCTTTTTCAAGTCAAAKGAGAGATAATCTCAGTTCTTTTTATAAACTTCTCAATACCCACTCATTGAAAAGTCTGATACCCAAAAACTGACACATCCCAACTCACTCCTCAGTTTTTACAGCCCTACAATCAATAAGAAGTTTTGTCATGGACTGCATCAAAAACTTGATTTCACTCCTTTATGGCAARATTGCAATTAAAAGTAATAAAAAAAAAATACATTCTGTCCACTGCCTCCTTCTTTATTTACTTTTTCTTAAACTGATTTGATGGGTACAGTGCAATGAATCTCTCCCTGACACAAATACCTCCAATGCAATTGCAGTACAGCACTTGATCCAGCCTCCCACACTGTCACTCAAACCAGAGATCCCCTTTATGTCCAGTTTTTCAATTCGCTTCTCCATCAAACTGAAACCACTCACAATCTTGCCCCAATTTATCGGTGCATTTTTAGTTTCTCCTGTCTGCCCTGTCCCTGGCCCTCCATTCCTCCACTAAGTCTAATCTTGAATACTTGTTCCTCCCACAGTCTGCCTCACACCCTTATGCAAGGAGGCCCTTTCCTGGACTGATCTGAAAAGCCATCATCACTCTATAAATCCTTGATTCCTTACTCCTTCTGTTYGCTGAGTTCTGAACTGTCTGGGAAGAAACCAGGGGTTTTTTTCTTATTTGCACAGCTCCCGGTGCAGAAAAATCTTGGTCCCTGCCTGGGCATTCCTTCAGCACAAATAGCACATGTTAATTACCAGTTGCTAGGACAGGGAGTGAACGGAGTAATTTAAATCRAAGATGATTTAGAATCACTGCTTTTTGCAACAGTATGCTCAAATTTCTGAAAATGCAGTATTTTAGTGGCTGACAGAGGGTAAAGGGCATTCTACCTCCCAGCGAGAGAGGTTTCAAGGTGTGCCCACAAGCCAGGACAAAACCTGTTTGAACCATTCACTGCCTCTCTATCCCAAGCCCTCCTCCTTCATACATGATACTATACACAATCCTCAGTTGCTTGGTTGGACTCTCCTCTTCCATCTTTAATTCCCTCCTCTGCCTGTTCCCTTCTTTCAAGCCTCCACTGATTCAGTACCTACACCCATTCCCAGCCTGCCCTCAATTTCTAACAAGCAGATTCTCTGCCCTCAATTTCTAAAATTTCACTTTCTCCCTTCCTCTMCTCTCAACTCATCTAAACCTTCCCCAGGGTTTTTGGGAAACACCGTCATGCCAGCTGCTAATTCCAGCACACCTGTTGGGATTGACAAACCTAGAACCCCATTCATTTGATTTGACTGTGTCCTAAATGTGAGATCTCTGTGTTTGATCCAAATAAGGGTGAAAGTGTGATGGCATCAGGAAGGAACTTTATCTGCTTATGAAGCACTACAGCTCAGATGGATGCCTGCCCCTCCATAGCCAAACACTGCTCCTGTCTAAATTCCTGCACCAAAAATGTCTTTGTCTATTTATCCTTTATGAGTGCTGAAGCCTGATTACCATGTAACAGTTTAGATTACTCAGAAACCCAACCAGCCCTTAAACAAACCAGCTRAATGAAGAAAAAAGACTGCTTTTCTGTAATGTTTGTTTTTCTAGAAATTGGATCATTTAGGAATTTGGTTTTAATGTTATGGAGAATCTCTGTCTGAAACTAATGGATTTCTGCTGACTCATCTGCACAACAACAGATTTGAAGGTGCTGCTCATCCTACTGCTGGGCTTATGTAACTCCTGTCTCCTGACTATTGGGTAAGCAAGCCCAGGTTATAACACAAATAACACAACTCCTGATAGCTGAGATACAATAAATGCAGCATGTGAATACAGGATCAAAAAAAGTTTTGTCTGCAGAGTGATGATGAGAAGCAGCAAACTTTTCTCACTCAGTTTTCCAAAAGACTTACCAGTTGCAAAAAGTAGTTTCCTCGGGTCCTGAAAAACAGACAAGCAAAGACAAATAAAAACAATATATGGGATTTTATATCTATATGATATATATATGATAATAAGTAGCTCATAAAGCTCTTGCACTTCAAGATATATGCAGTCCTTAAATCTGGAAGCAGGAATGAATTTGGTACTTGRTAACAGTTTACATTGACTGCAATTCAACATAAACGAAACCTCTAGCCTTTGCTTTCCCCCAGCAAAGATGATTCTGATCTATAATTTGGATTCAGATAACTTTACAGATAATTGTTTTTCGAAAGCTTAACTTTACTCAGTTACCTCATCCCTTTGGGAGAACAGAGTGGAGCAGAAGAGGGAGAGGTTTTGAATTTAAATGTCAGACAAGAGGCAAGCATTTTACTGCCAGCTCCATCACCAAGAGATTKGCAGTGGACCCCAGTGAAGCAAGACTGAACACAAAGGATCTGACAGAAGTGAAAGAAAGAAGGGATAAGTCAATATCATAGGAAACTGCCTCACTCCCCCGAGACCTATACTTCAAGAGGTTTTGTCTTCACTGTTCAGAAAACTTTAYACAAACTTGCAGTAAATTGCAGTGAGGGGAGGTGAGAATTTTTCATACAGGTCAGGAAAAATAAAGCAACCCTCTACCTAACCTTGCCTCTGTACCCAGGCAGAGAAGATGARTGCAGCATCCAGATGTCCATCACAGTCAAGAAAGGGATTTAAGTGGAATTCAAGTATAAAGATTCAAGAGCTACTTAAGTATCTAAAATTCAGGACTTTTGATCCTAGAGTTCCTAAAAACCTTCTTATTGTCTCCATTRCCTATTGCAAAATTCCTAAGGCCGCTTAGTGGAGGCTGAGAACCAGGCACACTCTTGCATGAGGCAAGCTGCTGCTAATGCTCCTGATGAAGCTGAATCTATCAGACCACTCCTAACAAAAGCAGACACACAGCTCAACCAGAAGCTCAGCACAATAGTTGGTGTTGGCATGTCTGCCTGCCTTTGGATAGCTCAATGATTAGATCATTCACCCAGGGAGTGGAAGACCTTGGTTGCTGGTCCTTCTGAGACTGGACTGAGTCAAACTCTTTTTTTCCAGGAAAGGATGCAGTTGGGATAGGGTCATTCTAAATATTTCCCAATGAAGCTGGTAGAAAAGAAATGCAGACTTGAGAGCAGTGTGAATACAAACAAGACAGAACTTGATTGTAGCCCAAGAAGAAAGTGTGGTTTTGGACTCTGGTCTGGCTTCTAAAATCTGCAAATATCTCTCCAGTGCCAAATACACAAGCAAGCACCTGGCCAAGGGACTAGGAATCTGATATGCCTGCAAGAGATCTGCACCACAGTCAGAGAAGGCACATAAATCAAGCATTTTGCAAGTATAACTCAGCTTCCCACCCAGTTCACGTAGATAGCTAATTCCATCCTTAGCATTTATACTCATATATGCATTCAGTGCAGCTAAAAAATGCAAMATCAGTTTAAAATCTCACTGCATTCTAAATAGTGGAAATGCAGAACAAATTTTCCCAAAACGCAGCAGAAATGTGCCAACCAGCCCCAGCCAAGGAACAGAGAAGCAGAAGAGAAGCAGGAGAACAAAGTGCAAGGTGAAAAGTTTTGATAATTGCATTCTCCATCTAATAATCAAACAGGACTGAACCTTGCTGGCTTTAATACGTGATTTGTCCAGAGAAAGAAGCAAAATCCACAGGAATCGCCATGATGGTGAGTTTTCAGTGCACAAAACAGCAGCACTGTATAGATCACACAATGGAACTGAATATGAAAATATTCATATATTTAAATTATATGCYTTAAATAAAAATATGAAGGAACAGCTGGCTCACCTCACCACGATAGTTTGCTGCATTTATGGTCACAAATTCTTCGTTGTAGTTCTCAGAGAAGTTAAGAGCATTTACCAGATGAGCAGCAACATGTAAGACTAAAAAAAAGAACCAGAGTAAAGCTGAGGATCTGTAAACAAATGCTGGATGTTTCCCATGACCACCCAGATGCCAAGCTATAACCACATCACTTGCATGAGATATACCAGGGACTAWGCAATTCTTAGTTATTTTTCCGAAGTAAATCAGCTTATAAAGATTCATGATGGAAAACTGTATGTATTTTAGGTTTTAGTTGTTTGAGGTTTTTTTAACACTATAGCAATGATTCCTGAACTGCAATGCTTCAGCTGAGAGAAAACATTCCAAGGTGTCCAGCCAAGAATATTTCTTCTTCACCAAACTGGGTAGTTGTCTCCACTGCTCCCTCCCCTGCAGTTAAGCCTGTAGCATCCTGCTTTTTCACTCCAGTTCCTTCAGCACAATGAGGGTTCACTTGTAATGGCAGATTTTCACCTGATCTCACATACCTGTCTCCTCAGAAAATGGCATTTTAAGGAAAGGCTTGACATTAGAATGTATGCCCATGTGTTTAAAGCAAAAACTGAACCAAAACCCACACACATTCGAGAAAGCATTTACAATTTAAGAAAAGCAAGTACAGAGCAAGACTACCCCCAAATGTACTGCAGCAGTAAAACCACAAAGCACGGCTTCAGCGTGCTTCCAAAACACGCTGCTGCTCAGCCCAGTAAGATCTCACCTGAAAAGATGCATATTGTAACACCACACGTCACATGGAAAGTTTTGCTTTTATCTAGCAGCCTTCTGGTTTTCTTGCTGGCAACCTAATAAGACAAAATTTCAAGCAGTCTCTTTCAAAACAAAGCAAAGAAAAAGCTACTARCAGCAACTGTGGTATATAATAGTAGCTTCAGCTTTTACTATGTTTAACATCTTTGCGAGCATATTACCTAAWTTTAAAAACTGGATTATGCCAAGGAGACAATTTTAAGGACTTAAGAAATTACAGCTGGATCTCTATTACACAGATGTCAAGAGCATATTATGTACCTCCTGGCCTTAATATTTAGGAATTCCAGAACTAATTGYGTAGGTATCACTGACTCTTTTATAAGCAAGACCAAAAGCAATGGTATGTTTGCATACATATGTCGGCATTAAATCTTATGGGTACTGTCACCTGATTAACAGAACTCACAGGTTCAATTTGCAAGCAAACACAAATGTTCCTCAATAGCATTACTAATATTTCTATAAAGGCAACTGGTGAATCACAAAGAAGCTAAATTATTATTTCTTCCATGATAAYAAGTGTATCAGGTTGGGTACTTTTATTTAAAGTTCTGCCATCTCCAGTAGGACACTAATGGTCATGCAGAGACAAAGTTGGTTTTGCTCTGTTGGATTCTACAAGGAAGCAGTTGAGAGGACACAGATGTCTCTAAGTGAAGAGATTGGAAAGATGGAGGAGAACTCATTTGGTTTCAGTTCCACAGCAACTCCCCACCCTTCAAAAACGCACTGAAGAAACCATCCTCACAGCAGGTCAAATGAAACCAGACAGCRTCAGCCGTGGCCCTGTCTTCAGAGGGGTCATGAATCTAGGCTGAAAACCTGGTACTTGCACCATGCAAGCACATACTGTATAACAAACAGGGATGTAACAGACTTMTTTTCTCTTATTTTTATACTAAACAGTGACCAGGGCCCTCTTCTCAAGTGCTGCACTCTGAGGACAGTACTCACCTTCTGAGAACCCCGCAGGAAGGCCAAGAGAACTCGGCACATTGGCAGCAGGACGAGGCAGCAGTTCAGATTGAGGACAGATGCTGAAGCTCTGCTAACACACAATCCTAGCTGAACAAATATTGCAAGAGTTAGATTACAGGGAGAAAGGAATGGTGCATGTGTCAGTACTGTCTCTCTTTTTCTATGCTGTGAAAACAAATGGTTCCTACGGTCTCTGATTCATCAGAATAGTGGAGTTTTGTGATATTTCATTGTACTGGAGAAACCACTGTACACACAGCATGCTGTCCTCGTCTCACAGGGAAGGAAACAGCTCTCATCTTTGCATCAAGAAGTTATGAAAAATTAATTTTGTCAACAATAAATGACAACTTTCTGCTGCAAGAGCCAACATCCTCATGAGTGCTCAAAGTCACAAGGAACAAAACATATGAAACAACAGTAACTGCCCACTGAGAAATCAGCTGAAAGCTTCAACAGACATAATTAAATAAAATAGAGCAATAAATACTATGATGACATCAGACAGCCACTAAAGTGTGACAATTTTCTGTTAAGCCACAAAAACATGTAAAAGAATATTGATTTCGTCAAACTGAAATGATCAGTGTTTCAAGGACTGTTACAGAATTGTCACAAAACCCCTCATCCATTCACATTATGCAATGCCATATTTGGACATAAAGAAAGTAGGTTTTCTTCAGTTTAGCTGCTCAATAGCTGGGAACTGTAATGAAATCTCATTTCACTAATGCTTTCACTGATATATTTGGAACTTACATAATTAGAACAAAAACACATGTCAAATAAATGAACAAAGCACACATTCATGTCATAAACCTGCATTTTTAATCTTATATTACCTCATTCATTTATGATTTTWAAAAGTTAGCAAAATACCATTGTTCTCCTAGTTATTAGGCTGAATTTTACTAGCTTATATAAAAGATGCTTTTAGACTGTCAACATTTCAGATTTCTGGAAGGATATTTCTTACAATGCTCTCGAAACCCCAAGTTTTTCAACTCCTGAATAAACTAATAAAGAAGTATTATTACGCTAAAGATAACTTAAATGCTGCAGGAGTATTTGAATGAGTTGAACAAGTACAAACTATTTAATAAAAATTACTAGAGATTTTTTACTGTTTCAAAATGAAACAACATCAAAAAAGAATTTACTTTCTCAGACAAAAAAAAAAATTAATCTTGAAATATCTATTATATTATCACTGTTATCAAAAAGCAGGCAAATTTAAAGACCTACGTTTGTGTCACAGAAATGGATGAATATATAAGCTAGTAAAATAAACAGAATAACTGCACTTCAGAATATCTTGCAAGACCTCAAGCACGAGAGGACGACAAGAGTTTCTCCAGTACCAGTACCATGAAACATTAAAATTGCCTGCTCTCACAGTTATTAACATCCATCTACCCCACCTGCTCTGCAGCACACCTGGGCACAGCACCAGTAGGCAAACAGAAGGTAAAAATATTCAATCYACCTGAAGCATCAAGCTCTTCACTTAAATCCTTTCTGTCTTCCAGCTACTTTAAATTATTTAGTTAGACCTGAGTGCCAGGGACCTCCTCACCAGACACTACCAGCTTCCATAGAACAGAGCAATCACAAAGGCACCTTTTCTCAAAAGTTGCCCGCVAGAAGTAGGAGCAACGACCCCACAAAATGTGCTCTACCTTGTTCTCTACCATGTAAATGTGGGATCTCCAGCAAAAAAAAATCCCAGGAACAGAGCATCTCCAACCTACTGAATGATGGAAAATAAAACTAAAATGAACCTTGTCACTTAGTTCTTTCCCACTCTCCAGATGTCCTCCACTATTTCTCCAATGTACTGTTTGTCTTCTATTTCCTTACATAAACSCTCCCTTGCTTGTATTTCATGTGTTACTTCACTCACTTGCACAATGAGAAATTTTTCTTGCTACTCTCCCCTCATAAGCCATGTTCTTCAGCCCTTAGATCATCCTCTCCTCCTGGCCCTGGTCCCTCCCAACTGGTCCAGAGCCCAAGTGTAGTGACTAAGGACCAGCTACAGTGGCCACAACCTCAGCAAATGAGCCGGGATTTTACCAAAAACTGATGTCACTTCCCATTGCAAAGTCTGATCAAAAAGGAAAATTATGTGACTAGCCACAAAAAATACTTGTGTGTCCTTGTCCACAGTAGCCCCTAAGTGACTTCAGAACATTGCAAATATTTTTGGACTATGAGGTTAAATGACTGGAAATTATCCTTAAAGAGACTGTATTTAATGAAAAGTAAAATGTCTCTATAATGTGCTGTTTGCATATACAACACTGTCGCTATTTTCATTAAATCCTATAAAGAGTAGGTAAAAATGAGCTATACACCTCAYGGAAGCAGTAACTTCAGAAACGTGATCATTAAAACATGTAAGAATTTTTATTGGGACTTGCTGATGTGCTACAGTATTTTAGTGATTAAATGAGCACAATTTGAAAAACTCAAGAATTATGTAGAACTAATGTTATGCAAACTCCAGAAGYAAACTGAATAATTTTTGTAGCCATTAATAAGCAGTTTGAAAATTTTAATAATTTCTATCATATGACCTACATGATACGTCACTAGTTTCTCACAAATTTATGTTGTATTTGAGTGTAAACATAAACTAGGCATGACATCAGCTATTCAAAACTAGCAAGGACAACAATTTTTATTAGAAAACTTCAACAAAACAATAGTTTGGTCTAGAACAGTATTAAATAAATTAAATAATTCCTGTCTGAGTTCAAGAAGCATTTGGACAATGCTCTCAGGCACATGGTGTAATTCTTGGGATGTCCTGCTCAGGGCCAGGAGCTGGACTTGATGAACCTGATGGGTCCCTTCTAGCTCAGCATATTCTGTGACTCCAAGTAAAATGCCAAACAATTTAACAAATATGAATCACCAATGATGCATAGAAAAGGTTATCCTACTAACATTCCTTTGTTTTTTTTCCATTATTTAACAAATAGAAAATACTCATTCATAATGCAATTACTATGGAAGAATGTCCTTAAATTCATTCTAAGTCAAGGCTGTCAGCACCTGYACAAAGGAGGGAAAAAAAGAAAATAGGAAAAGCAACCAGCAAACAACTCCTTCAAACATGCACTGCACTTCCAGAAATGTTGTGATACAAATATTAAAATAYTGTTACAAATGGTTCACGTAAGGTTTCATTCTGAAGAAATAAAGTTGGGCAATATTTCCTGCAACAAGCCCATGACTGATTTGCAAACAATAGTAAATACATTTAGCAATGCTTAGAATCAAAATTCATGCAAGAAGAAAAACAGAGTTTAAGTTTGCTCTTAATATATATCCAAAAGCTAAAAATATCATGATTAAACTAATTCTTTCCAAATGGTTTCCAAGAGATTTCTTTCTTAACTTCCTTTGCATTGCCTGGGTGGCATAGTAACAAATTAACATAGTACATTGTTGGATTTTTAAACAACAGTCGAATAAGGGATGATTTTTGCTCCAAGGCAACTCACTGGGTCTAGAAGGGAATATATATCCTCATTAAGTAGTTAAGAAATGGGAGAAATATAATCCTCTTTTATTNAAAAAAAAAAAAAAAAAAAAAAAAAAAAAAAAAAAAAAAAAAAAAAAAAAAAAAAAAAAAAAAAAAAAAAAAAAAAAAAAAAGCATGTTACTAGCATGTGAAATTTCTGCAGGATCAAAAAGAAAAAGAAACACACCCAAAAGCTCTGCTGGACACTGTTTTTTATCCAGCTTTGCTGATACTAAATCCGAGCATTTTACCACCTCCTTCTGTAACCTGCCTACCTGGTACAATGCACACTTTTATCCCATTTAATGGAGGGGAAATGAGGCATAGAAAATCTAAAGGATTACTCAAATGTACAGAGTAAATCTTTGGCAAAGATATTAGGGAACTGGGCCATCCACAAACTTGAATCCTAAAAACTAGGTTAGATTCTTCCTCCAGTATAAAGCAATCACCACCTTCTCCAAAGCAGCATAAAAGAGCTCCAGAAAGTTCTACAGTTGTCTCTGTCTGATGTGCAGTGCCACTGAACTCCTGGCTRTGCTCATACAACAGAGAAAGTAGGACAGAGAAGCGAAGAGTCAGTGCTAGTTATGTCTTGCTGCCAGCAAAGTAGRGAAAATGAGCTGTCTCTGCTAGGAACATGATTTCAGTATCAGACTGACGGCTGAAGTACCTTATTGTGTACCACARAATTCCCCAAAGCTCATCTATTACAGAGATGAACCTTGATCAATATTACCCACAACTGCTGTGCACAGAAATCTGATATTTGATACATGGTTGCAAAATGAAGACTTCAACAAATACTGTCCTATCTCACCTTTCAWGTCCATCTTGTACCCAAAAAAGGTCAGAATAGCGCACATCCTTCCACACTTGAGAGTGATGCGATTCTCTTTCTCAAGACTTCACTACCTACAAGCAACATGCCATGGTGCAATAGAGACACCACACATGATTCTCTGAGAGGCTTTCTTTAAAAATTTTCAATCTTCTRTGGTTCAGGGCAACTTGAAAGGCTCTGAGAAGGCACAAAAGCCACATGCTCTGTGGACACAGGTCTCAGACCAATTCCCCAAATCAGTACTGGAGCAACTAAAGCTACTTATTTTACCTACGTAGGACAATCCGTGCTACACAACACGCCTCCTTTTGACCCAGCTTCCTTTTCTTCATGGAGTACTCCTTGTCTTGAGTAACAGAGCACTGATAATCTAAGATGAAGGACAGAACTGAACTCTATGCATAGCAATTATGCCCCTTAGGCTTGTCAAATCTGGCTGGAGATGTACCAACAAAAACACAAAGCAGCTGAAATGAAGGAGGATGTGAGGCTAGTGGAAATCTACCAGAATATTTGAAAATCTCTACAAAAGTTTGACGTGGTTTTGCTCTTCAAGAAGGAAGGCTTCGAGGAAGGACTCTGTAAATCCCCATCTCATGTACTGCAACCCTTTAAAAATGAAGTGGTGCAATATTTTTTAATATGTGTGGGGTATCTTCCCTGCACTATTGGGAATCAGTGCTCTCCCCATTCACTTGTAACTCACCACAC